CCCTGCGCCCCTCGCATCGCCCGTCCTCTCTTGGCTGCCCAGCTCCGCCCATTTTTTCCGGCCGCACTAAATTGTGCCCAGTTACATTCGGGCCTCATTCGAACGAATCTCGGCCGCCAACACTCCAGGCAGAACCCAGCCACAGTCTTCCAATCCTGCCCGGCTACGAACCTCCAACAGACTCGGCCGCCACTCTTTTTAATTCATTCGCTCCCAGCCGCGTTTCTCTGCCCACTTCTCCTAGCTTCATCCGGCTACAAATTTGTGCAGCCCGGATTGCTACAGCCTCCAAATTTCAACGGCTGCCCAGTTCCTTGTCTGCCCGGCCAGTTTCCGTGCTCTCAGAAATTGCCCAAGTTGGGTGGATTTCTAGCACCCCTAAACAATAATACAACAATATTTTTTGTCGCACGAAGTGATACAGTTTTTAAAACTAAAATAACTCCACTATTTTCTCAATGTCTTTCTCTACTCTTACCTCTCCTCTCTCTTGCCCTCTCATTCTCACTCACTCTCAATCTTGCCAAAAGGTATATTCTCACCAAATTTTAAATTTTTTTCATTAATATGTGTTTTTGGAGTTAGTTTTGAGTTTGTGTGGGGTTTGGGGGTCGAGTACAGGGTGAGGATTGGAGTTTGAGTTGGATTTGTGGTATGAATTTTAGGGGAGATTATGCCTTTTTTTTTTTTCTTTTTTGTTATTTGACCATATTTGTTTTTTTGTAGAGAATCATCGAGACTTTGACAGCTAAAGTTGAGGATTAGGACGCTATCAAAACATATCCTCCGTCACTGCCACCACAATAGGCTTGTATTAGGATTTTATTATTGTACTTTGTTAATTTATGTGTACATTTTGAATATTATATACATATTTATTTATTTATTTATTGGATAATTTGATCACTATTTTTCATATGTAATTTCATTTTGAATATGTCAATTTAAATGAAAGTAATTAAACAAAATCATACAATTAAATTAAATTTAAAAAATAAAAATTCGAACAAATTAATATAATTAAATTAATATCAATTTAAATTAAAGTAATTAAAAAAATCGTACAATTAAAAATAAAAATTGTGAATATACCATATTATCCTGATTTCAATCATTAATCAATGGTATTTTTCTGGTATTTTGAATGTTTTACTATTTTTTGTCTTTTGCTTTATGTATGCTAGCATTTCGGCATGCACTTCCACGCCTGCGAGAGGTTTTTTTTTTTTTTAAATTAAATTTATTTTAGAATTAAAAAAGATAATGGATAGTTGTGTTCCATAAAAATACAATCCATTATTTGATTTTTTTTTTTTAATTTTAATTTTTTTTTTTAATATGAAAAAGTATGAATTTACCATATTATCCTCATTTAATTAATAATTTCAATTCTTAATGTTTACATTAATCAATGACATTTTCTAGCATTTTGAATGTTTCACAATTTTCTGCCTTCCTGAATGCCAAAATAAGATAAAACTCAACAGCCATATCTTTGATTAATTTGGGCACTTTGTCAATCAATCTGCTTAAATGTCTCTCAAACTGGGATTGGGATGAGAAGAAAACCATTGAACCCAAGCAGAACTGCATTTTATCGTTGGTTCCTACTCCACATGATTATTCTGCTACGTAGACATCAAATAGCACTTGTCTAGCCATTTGCATGCTTTCCCATTTGTTTAATCATTTCTTTTGTCCTCCACTTGCCTTCGCTCTCCCTCATCTTCTCTTTTGTGTAGCAATCCAAGTGATTTCCTCTAAACCAACACCTTTCTTTCATTTTAATATTCCTTCTCACAAAGAATATCAAATAATTTCCATGCACACCATGATGTCTTTCTCTCACACCAATTTTCAGCGTTAGAATTGATCTGTAACCTTTGTATAATGTTAGGCAAAACTGTATATTTCATGATTTGGCCTCTAAACCATGTATTTTGGCTAGAATAAAGAATTTGGCCAAAAAGTGCAAATTTTGGTACGAACAGTTTTCAGCATACAAACACCATTTCATCGTCCAAAATGAAAAGATGTCATCAAACTCGTCTGGTGCCCTTTCCATTGCTAGTTTCCGTAATTCTCCAACCTCTATAAAATTTGTAACTTGCTTTGAAATCTTAGAAGAGCTCGACAAGGAACTGTATTGCATCTGCTTTGCTTTTAGCTTCGATGAAGTTATTGACGAAAGCAGAGCATGCTTGATGAAACTATCATTAACAACTTTGGTTAATTTATACATCCACTTGGCCCAAATTAAGCTATATATAAGTTAAAACTATAATGCTTGTAATTTGATTAACTAGATACCAACAGTTGAGCCAACATCCAAAGATTCAATATGGTAATATTACATACGAAAAGGAAGGTCCAAATAAATCCAGTTTTATAATACAACTAAAGATAATAACTAAATTATCTGATCAAAGAGATGCAATGGCAGGATATGAGGAACATTAACATGTATAATCAGTGATGAAAGCGACAGTAATTACGAAATTGGTATGTCATGGTATCTTGTAGATGTGCACCGCAACATATCATGTAGTCTTGCCCTAGCTTCTTGGCTTATGATGATATTCTTCTCAAAGGTTATGCAAAATAAAGAACAAAAAATTATTATCCATGATTAAAATAGAAAATGCATGTAATGGATATTATACAAGTGCTGCTGGACAAATATTAATGGTTAAGTACTTCTTCCAAAAATGATACCACCCTTGGAAGCATTTTAATGAGCCATATATAAATAAGCATTTTAACGAGCCATATATATAGCTTAAACACGTGGACATGGACTAATGACATGAGAAAGATAAGGCAAAGAAAAATAAAAAGCAACGCCAATTCATGAAAGTATATTAAGCTATACATATATCTTCTACTGATTTTATAGTGACCGACCAGAGTGCTTGGTTGAATTGAAAACATACCTTCATAGACACATGTTGGCTGCTTATACATATAGAGACTCAGAAGCAAACACTTTTAATTTTGGACACTCATAAACGTGGACTTTCTCCAAGGCTGGCCACTTCAAAGTATAGGCTTGAGAGCAAAAAGATTCAAGTTCGGGTAAATCCTCAAGTTGGATAGAATTCACGTGCGGAAATGTCAATTCATCCTTAATACTTTCTCCTCCTCCTTCTGCTTCTCCAACAAGTTTCTCCATCGCACTACAATACATTACTTTTATTCTCTCAAGGCAGGTAAGAAGTTTGGCTATATGCGGTGAAAACAAGTATCTCAATTTGTGACACCTCCATACTTGCAGTAATCTCAGGTTTCCAAAGCCTGAGCTAAATTGTAAACCCTTTTCCCATATGTGGCTCAGCATTCGTAAATCCCCCAACCTCAATTCCTTGAGCTTATCAAATGCTTGAGTAGAAGGGGTTTCTTGAACCAAAAATATCACTTCCAATAAACCGCACCCTTTTACTTCGAGATGTTCTAGATTGTCGCTAGCACTTGAAGTCTGAAGATTTGTCGGCGTAACCTGCCAAAAGGGTAGAAAAGTAATTGTATAATTTGGTAGTGTTTCAATCATATACATATGGGATGTTATCACATTCTAGAAATCGAGAAAGTTGTTTAAAAATGAAAAATGAATTGTTTATTGTTGAACTAAGCAAGTTCGGTAAGTATTCATATAAAAAGAAGTTACCAGTACTGTTTATTGTTTAACTAGACAACTTAATTATTGTATATTATCACCTTCTAGATATTAATACTGTTTGCTAAAATAATGGTGATTATTTCCCAAATGAAAATGAACAAGTGTTTACAATTGTCATGGGTCAAGCCCATTTAACTTTTCTTTTTTATTTTATTTATCTTTTATGTTCAACAACATCTGTACCTAAGATCAATTTTCACAAAATAGACACTAAATATCGCTTTAGAATAATGACGTACCTCTCTATTTACAGGGCAGGGCAATATTTGAGTAAAGTTGCGAGTGGATGGACGACTTTGTAAGCAAACTAGTGGCGCACATCCAAGTCCAGATCCAGATCCAGTTGATGATGCACATCCAGATCCTGATTCTTCTCTACCTCTTACATGATCATCACTAAAATTCTTTGCAACTGCCGGCAGCTTTTTGCTTACTGGTGCAAAACCCAATGTCTTTAATTTGTGACAACGTATCACCCTCATAATTCTCGTGGAGGAGGACCATGCAAAAGAATAGGCATCAGGGCAAAATCTCTCGAGGTTTGGCAAGTTGAATAGTGTGAAGCTATTGATCAGTAGTTTGGGAAACAAAGTCGTCGCGCCACTGCAACCTGTC